GGTGTGTCCCACCACAACTGGCCATATTTTTGGAATGTCATAAATGATACAAGAGTCTTCACTATGCTAAAGGATTGATTGATTCAGGTGGGTGGCTACACAAGCTCAGGGTGGGAGCGGATCACCAGGAAGACTGGTCTTATCAGAGAGCCAGGATTTGGGGAAGGAAGGGTACTGGAGACTGAGTTCAGTCTCAGATACAGGTACCTGATTAATCATGCAAGCCTAGGAAATGAAACTCAGAGAAAATCTCTGGACAGTGGAGCTTCCTGGGTAGGGAACACATCAATGTGCAGGGAGGGTGCTGCACCCTGGCTCAGGGACAGGCGTAGGAGCTGTGTACAGGTTGGGAAGCTCCCAGACTCTGCCTTGTGCACCCTTTCCTCCAGCTGCTCCTCAGTCGCACCCTTTGCAGTAACACTGTGGAGTAGGTAGAGCGCTTCCTTGAATCCTGTGAGCCATATTAGTGACTGGCTGAACCTGGGAGCCTGCAGAATGTCTGACTTGGTAATGAGTCGGTGAGCAGCACAGGTGGACTGAGCACACCACTGGAATTATGACGTCTTTGTGATTCTGAGGTGGGGACAGTCACATGCAGGATGAGCCTCTCATCTGTGGGACCTGACAGTAACTCTGGTGGTTACTATGAGAATAGTCTTGAAGTGCTCTAAATTGGGGGTGGGCCATTTTCTTATGCAGTTCTTCTGCATAAGGAAGAAGATGAAAATAATGAAATACTTTTGCCTTCTGAAAGAGTGTTTAAAACAATCTGAAAATTCCAGGACTAGATTTTAAACATTCTAAACCTGTTAAATTTGCTTCTAAGAAACCTAATGTGCTATGTCTCTGTCACACTGCAGAACAGTAGTTTGTGTTTAATTTAGTGAAAGGTCCTGGGATCACTGTAGACACGACATTGTCCCTACAGAACTATCTTTTAGAGCCATCCTCTTTAGCTATCTGCAAGGCTAAGGATTAACTGTGTTGGTGATTTGTATTGAGAGTGAGTTGTGTAACACTGCCTGTGCCTGTCAGGCCAAAACATTCTTCACTTTTAAAAATGCACATATCTTTGGAGAGGTGAATTAATCCTCATAAATATACCCTGGATCCCTTGCTCAGAGTTGTAGGGACCTCTACACTAAAAATATTATACTTGTACCACAATTTATAGAAAAAACAATATGCATTTCTTCACTAGCCAGGTGTTTGGGTTTGGGTGTGCTCTTGATATGTGACTCTTGAATTTAAGTGCACTGTTACTCTTGTCTTACACAATCAAACTGCAAACTAAAAAGATAAAATGAAAGAGTTTTAAAAAATAGATGGTGGCAGGACCTAGTGAAACTCTGGCACGTGAGGCTCAGTATTTTTACCATTAATTGAAACTACTGATTCAAGAACGCCTGTAGATATTGTAACTTCCGAGCATGGTGCGGCTTTGAACCACCCCTGGGTCACAAGCTCTGGCCAGCATATGGAGGAATGGGGACAAGACGACTGTGAATAAGGATCCATGATGGAGAGCAGCTCACTGTCCAATGAAGAGCAGGAGGCCAGGCAGCTAAGGGAAGACCCCACTGTGTCTGCAAGATCTAGTTCTATTTAACAGCTTCATTAATGATGTCACTCATGGCTTTCATACTTTGTTAATAACATTTTTTGGCGGGTACTAAATTAGGAGATGCAGCGGATATCACTGAGGGCTGAGAAGTAACACAGATGGATCTAAAGAGATCTGAAGTATGAGTAGAAATTTTCATGATGAGATTTGATTTAGTCCAGAATACAAAGTAACCAGTGGGCTGGAAAACCCAGAAAGCAGCAACAGCATCTCCAGCAGGAAAGCAAAGCTACAGAGCATAAGCAACGGTGAGGTGCAGCCTCATGCAAACTGCGAGGCAGGTCCAGGAAGAAGCAGTGCGGCAAGGAATTGTGCTGCAGCGCATACACATTTTTAGAGTTGATGTAGGAAAATAAAAATACACCGAGCTAGTTAGGCTTTTGTTCCTTTTATTATTAGAAAAGAGACAAAATGCCTGGCCTCTGAGGGCCCCCAGTTCTGCCTGTGATTACAGAAAGGGATTCACCCTCTTTTCTAAAGATCTTCCTTATGAAGAGAAAGTATGAACAGTAAACTGGAAAATGCTGCCAATAGACTTCAAACTGACGTTCATCTGCACCATATCGTCTTTGCTTCATAGGCATGCAGCTAAATTAACATAGAAACCATTTATTTATCTATAAAAATACCTCTGTTTTATTATTTTTAATATGAACCCTTTAAGTGTACTTAAAGTATATGATTTTTTATTTACAAAATTTACCTTACACAAGAAATGTATCTGTGGTACAGAGCAGGAGAGATCTGCAAGATGGGTCCCTGCCCTACAGGGGAGGGAGACACCACATGAGGCGGGGAGACACATTTCTGTTGCTCAGGACAAACAGACACATTTCTGTTGCTACAGACAACGCTCTTCTCTCGGGACCTCTTGGGCTGCCACATTTCCATTCTCCTGAGATGCATTTCATTATGTGATTCTTCCCTCTCACCTACTTTCACTGACCTGGATTCCCAACAAAGAAGGAAGTGGGTTATTCTCTACCCAGAAAGTATGTTTCTTTTGTTAGGCTGTGCTGTGAATCCTGCCAGGTAAAGGCAAAAGGAAGATATGTGTCTCGCACAGCAGCCTTGAGGGTCGTCCCCCGACCCCTGGCTGCACCCTTCCACCTGCCAGAGCCTTATCTTGTGACAGAACGGGTCACAGAGCACCACACGGGCAGCGATGGACTTTGAGGAATCAATAATCGCCATTATCACAAGCAAAGGTAACAGGCACTGCTCAGCGACACCACGTTATCTGCTCTTCCCACTTGGCACCTACGTGTGCCTGGTGACAGGATGCTGGAGGGTGACAAAGTGAAGCAGCCATGCCAACTGCCTTCCACAATCACATCAGGAAGGCATCTGGGACAACTGGATTCTTGAAGAAAATAATCTGCCATCAGTCTGGGCCTTTAAGAGATAGGCAGAGATCAAATCTGATGATTTCTAGAAACACTTCTTAAAGCAAATCATTCATGTTCATGTATTTAACAAATAATCCTTCTGTTTTTTCCTTATAATGTCTCACTTCTTTCTGTATCCTATTTCATACATCTATATCATAAAAGACAGGAACAATTTATCAGGTTTTACCATTAGCTTAGCACTTTTCATTTTATTTTATTTTTGTCACTTTTTATTTTCTATCCTTCATAACTGTGAGGGTAACATGACTGCATTCCCTTTGCAGACAGAGAGTCTAAGATTTGCATAAAGGTTACATCTAGAGAAGACAGAGCTAAGAATTCTTCCAAGAGCTCAGCACTCTCCTCTGCATGTGCACTTTCTCCTCCCAGCTATCTAAAATCCCAGTCTGGTATTGTTATCTGATGTTTTGATAAGGAAACTTATGTTTTCAAATACTGAGTTATAAACAAATAATCTCAGTAAGAAAAACAGCAAGTTTTAGGCTCTCGGTTGCAAGCTATTTATCTTGGAAAAACAGTCCCAGTAATAAGGGTGTTTTATAACTGCATCAGTGTACAATGGGAGGCTAAAAATAATAAATGGTTTGAACAAAATAAATGAAAATATTGAGTTAAGTCCTGAATGGTATCTGAGAGCTAAGCCAATGAGTTTCTGAGTTATGATAAACAAAATACAGCACTGAAAAAGATGAGAGTTACATTCAAAATACAATGCAGCGTAGCTCACATTGCCTATAGTAAATGAAAGAATACAAACCAAAGGTGCCCATTTCTCCCCGTACTAGCTGTTCCCAGGACTGCTTGGTCATAACCAGCACAGACGCATACCCACAATGCTTCCTCACTGTGTTGTGTGTTCTGTGCTTTATGAAAGCTCAAACTGTAGATGAAAGACTAAGTAGAGAAATGAATCTAAGCCACAAAGAATGTAAGCACACGGTGGAGATGGACATGCCATTTGTGTGTCTGAAGGTCCCAGGGAAGCTCCTAGGTTCTGCATTCTCCTGAACCCTAAAGCAATTTTAGAAATCACCACCCCTAGTAACAGGCTCTAGAATCATTTGCATGCATTAAAAGGCAGATACTTTGAAAACAAGTTGCTTCCACTCACCGTGCCTGGATTGGATAAAAAACGGAGAAAATGTCAGTCAAACCAAAATTCCAGCCTCTCAGAAAACTCAAAGTGGCAGGAACTGGTCTAGGACTGAAATTGTCTTAAAGGACATGGCCCAACCCTAGTGCGTTGATGACATTTTTATAACTCTCTGCAACTCCCAACAGTTATAACCACCCTGGAAATAAAGTCATATTCTTATTTTCACAGATGGAGAGAGCCACAGGTAGCTACCATCCCCACAAGATCTCCTAGTCTTCCCCTAGAGCAAACAATCCATCCGTGCAGATCTTGTAGGGCAAGGTCAGGACTATGGAAGAGGGATGACCTTGGAGTCAGGCTGGCATGCATCTGCCTACCTTCCTTATGCCATTTCTTAGCCCTATACATAGGTAAAGTTCTTTCACCTCATTAAACCTCAGTTTCCTCATCTGTAAAATGGAGGTGTACCTCATGTTCAGCTCATAGTGTTATTGTGAGGATCGTGTGACACACACACAGCACACTCAGCCCACAGCCCAGCCCTTGGGTACAGCTCAGCCCACAGCCCAGCCCTTGGGTACAGCTGGGCAATGCTTGGGGCTCAGAGGTGCTTACAACATGGACTCTGGGTGACTGACCCTGCTTGGCTCCTCTGTAGTTCAGTGGCCTCAGGGCACAAAACCCCAGTGAACATGTTACTGTATTTACAGCTCTAAAGAAACAAACAAAAATCTTGGGACAGACTGAGAGTGCTTGTGGCCCAGCATGGAACCCAGGGCCAAGATAGAGGGTATTTATGCATCTTTCCCTTCCTCCCCAGAGCCACCTGCACTGAGTGCCCAAGACAGAGACAAGTAGGCATCCCCACCTGAAAAGCCATGGAGTTGGCAGCAGCCAGGAAAATCCTCAGAGGCAGCTTGGCCTTGTACGACCTGTGGCTCCACAAGCGGTGGGCACCAGCTGTCACACCCAGAGCAGTCACGAGGAAACAGAAGTAGGCTGCAAGACACAAGCAGGGACAGTGTCAGCAATTGTCACCGAGTGAGCCTTTCAACATCTCTGTGCTTTTACCCCTTCAAATGGGGGCCCTCATGAAATGGTGTCAGGAGGAATCCACAGCACGAAGAATCAATGACCCGAGAAGACGCAGTCCTTTTATTGACTGACAACTTCCCAGTATGGGGCAGACGCAGACAGAACTTTCTTCTGGAAGCTCTGACCTAATTTCAGGAGGCTTTAAACATCATTTCCACCTACATCAAAGAGTCTTTTATTTGCCCATCTTCTTGCTGGCCTTGCAGCAGACCTGGGAGAGCTGTGCCATTCAGGCCTTCCAGTCTGCTATGCTGTCTAACAGTGAGGCTGATCCCTCCGTTACCTCTGGGTTGGCACCCATGCCAGGCCAGTATCGTGTGATGAATCTGTTTCTAAGCAGTAGTGCCCATGTTTGCAGCTCCATGAGCTCTGGACAGAAGGAAAATGAGCCAGGTAAAAGAGTGGTGGAGTCTGACTAGCCCAGTGAGAATGAGGAGCACCTGGACTACGGAGTCAGTGAAATTCGTCTCCAGAGACCCTCAGGGCATTGTCGCAGCGACCTGAGGTGGAAAGGTGGCCAGCAGAGATGTTCAAAGCCAGTTTCTGGGCTGCTGCACACTTACGTGCAGCACCATCTCTAACTCCTGACGCAGGTGTCACCACTGTCAGCTCACAACTGAAGAACAGGACCTCTCAGAGGATGATCAGTAGGCGCTGCAATTAAACCCAAGTAAGCTGTGTCCCCACGCCTCTGTCCAGAGACCCATGTCACCACTGTGACTGCTGGAAGTGTTGGTAAGGGTGCGGTGGTTTGTTCTCTGCCCGAAGGCTTGGGAAAGGCTATAGGTCCACTGGAGAAAAAGACAACTTGGGGACATCAAAAGGATGCTTGTTAAGAGTTTTACAACTACTCTGCTTTAAAAGCCATGTGGCCACATAAGGCCCAGTGTTTTATTTAAATCATGCTATTAAACACATCAACCTATGAGTTTGGTATGATTAGCCCCATTTTAGATGTGAACTAATTTCCCAGCATCGAAAATCTCCAAAACACCTTTGCTAAGAGTCAAACCAAGAACAGAGTTCCTGACCAGTACATTCCTCTCTGCCTCTCAGGGAGACATCAGGTAAACTTTATCTTCACGCTTCTATATCCTACTGTTTAATACTGAATCCCAATCTAGATGTAAAAGTGAGCTGCTTCCTTACATGGAGGGCATGATGGCTTAGCTCTGAGATACTCCCAGAAGTTTGGATAGTGGGGGAACTCTACGAACCCACTGATGAGCTCATAGCTGGAGGTGCTTTTAGGAGATGGGACCTGGTTGGAGGGGGGTCACCGTGGTGTGACTCAGAAGACAATATTTCCATGAACTTGACCAAACATTCTTTACTCAAAAGGTTAAAAAGCAAACCAAACAATAAGATGCTCACAAATCATAGAGAGTGTAGCAAATAAAAAGCTCAGCTCTCTTTTGTTACTGTAATCAAAATTCGGTCTTGAGGCCATGGGGCAAACAGTTATTTTCCATGTCATCATTATCCTTCCCATTTAGAATGGAAAAATTCAACTTGACTCTTTTTTGTCAGTAGATTAAGATTCTGGTAGCAATAAAAGGAATGCCAAGATTCTACAAAAAACATTGGCCAAAAGAAACCGCTCCAACCCACATTTCCCTGAGAGGCCTTACTACAGACTGCAGCCTTGTCCTTTTCTGGGAATTGTCAACATTTGAAGGCCATCACCATAGCCAGCCTGTCTTCATCCAGAACTTAAATCCTAGCCTGCACTGGCAGTGGTGGCTGCTGGTCTTCCACGGCCCTTCATGCAGCCAGGTCTGGCCTGGCATCAGCTCACCTCCCAGACCTTAGCAGAAACACCTGACACGACGCTTCCTCTTCTCCTGGCTCAAAGCCCAGCATGGAGTTAGCTGAAGGCCACATATCACCAAGATAACAATGGCTGATTGAAACAGTAAAGAATAAAGTCTAGCCAGGCTTGGTAGCTCTGTCTTCACACCAGCTACTCAGAAGGCCAAGGCAGGAAGACAGCAAGTGTGAGGCCAGCCTGGACAACTTAATAAGATCCTGTGTCAAAATTAAAACATAAAAAGGGCAGGGAATGCAGTTCAGGGCAAGACCTTGACTTCGATCTCCAGCACTAGAGGGAAAAAAGAGAAAAAACAAAAACAAGGGCTGAGACCATGAAGATGGGGGCGATGCCCCTGAGGCAAAGGGAGAACTTTCCACATTGCAGGCCCTGGACATCTGCGGTTCTCTTGATTCCACAAGTTCCCAGGGTCAACGAAAAAATCCCCTTCTTAAACTAGTTGAGATTTCTGATGCTCACATTCTGCAGAATTTGGGGAGGAAAACAATCATCTGGTCATGGCCCAAATGACAATAAATCACAAAACCTCTGGGCTAATCTGAGGACTTTGTAGACTTAGTTTTCCTATTTTGAAAGGGTGGATTCTTTGTGCCTATTTTCTCTCCTGTGAGATTCATGAGGACTAATATTAAACACACTTTCCAATGGATGCTAGTTAGCTGGCTCTGAAGTGTTAAGATATTCAGACAGAATTGAGAACTTTGAGGAAGAAAAGAAAGTAATGAGCAGTAACTTCACCAGCTAATTCACACCTCACAGAAAAAGGTACTAAATGAATACAAACCAGAATCACAAGTTCACAGAACAAATGCAGACTCCTGGATGCAAACAGGAGTCACTGATTTCAGGTTAGCTCAAGCAAAAATAGAAATACATTAAAAAGAGGTTCAGAAGCCTCAACAACAGATGGAGGACTGCAGAGTGTGCTTTCAGCACAGAGGCTCCAAGGCAGCCCCGGTGTCCCCACCTCCTAATGCTCACAGCTCTGCGTCATCCCTTTCCCTCACCTCTCTCCAAGAAAGCACAGCAACTTTGAGGGCACGATGGTTCCATGATGAGGCTGCAAAACACTGGTAGCAGCTTCTCTCCAGCAGGCTATGGTGGGGAACGCTATGTTGGGGAAAGGGGGTGGGGAGGATTGAGGATTGCCCCAGCCAACAGTCAGCTAGGAGCTGGAGCCCTCACTGTGATAGTACACGAGGGACCAGACCTTCCAACAGCCCTGAGAGTGAGCTTCCCAGGCTGTCTTTGGACAAGACCGCAGTCCCCGCCCATGCACTGCAGCCATAAAAATCATAACTCAAGATCCTGAGGTCAAAGCTCTCAATAACCTGTATTCCTGCCCCCCTCAGCAAAAAACTGTGTGAAAGTAAATGTGTTTTTGTTTTAAAACAAAATAGCAAACTGATAAATTTAGGAGCAGTTCATTACTCATAGATAATTAAAAATAATTAAGATAAGACTTAAGCAGGAGCCTTCCCTTCAGGGAAAGCAGGTGCTTTAAATTCTGGTTGCAGAACAATTTGCCAACCACAGGGACAGAAAATAGACTGTTGTGCATGGGTAGAGTTTAGGGAGAGATGAGGCACTGCTAATTGTGAAAGGTGACAAAAATGTTTCAAAACTGATTTCAATAATACTTGCATGATTTTATTTTTTAAAAAAACCAACGAACTGCACACTTGCAACAGGTAAACTGTACACTAGTGAGTTATAACTCAATAAAGCCAAAAATTACTTTAAAAATGACTGAATTCCTAAAAGATTTGTCATTATATTTGTTCTGAGTATAAAACAGGATACTCAGCAAAACAGAACAAAAACCCATACTTTGCCTAAGATGCCACCAGGATCATCAGCACCCTCAAACACTTGCTACGACCACTCATGTCACACCGTGGACCTTGAATTGTTCACAGCTTCCAGGGTCTCTGATCTCACACCCACACCCAGCTCTATCAAGATCCAAGATTTATATCCTTGCCATGCTTGGATCATAGGCCCAAGCGCCAGCTGCCAGGGACAGCTCCTTGGCCTTCCAGAGCTCCCCATCTATCCGGATCCACTGTTTGGTGCATTGCTGGTTAAAGGATAATAAGTGGCCACCTCTAGACCACAAAGTCCTAGAGAGATGCAAGAACCCCAAATTTAAACTCCCTGAATGCTGGGCCTGGGAGGAGGAAGAGATGGACAGACCCTTCAAAACTGTATCGAGGCAGAAGGAGCCAGTGGTGGGCTATCAAATCCTCACTTATAATCTATGATTTTCTAGCATCAGAGAGATTTTCTAGCACCAAAGAATACTGGTAAGAATAGGTCTGTGTGCCAGGCTCTGCTCTGCACTCTACACACAAAACTCAGCACAGGTATAAAGAGTGGGTACACTCTACTGAGACCTCTACTACCTGGGGAGTGAGAGGGCCAGGGTGTGCTCTGAACATGTCTATTGCCTGATCCTGGAGGTGCCCTCACTCCCTCGGCAGAGTGAGGATGTACTGTTTCCTTTCAGTACTCCGAGGTCAACAATACCTTCAGCATCCTTCTGCATGCAGCAAAGCCTTCCTTTACCAGAAACACAAGCACCAGACAACCCAAGGTTTCACATATCCAGAACTGAGCTCTTAGTCCATACTGGGCACTGCACTCAAAGCTAGGTTTACATAATAGCTACACCCACATGGCCCCTTTCCTCCTGGAGTAGACAGCAGCCTGGAAAGTAAGTTATTTGCTATATGATTATAAATTATGACCAGATTATCAATTTCCTGCCCAAAGACATAAACACCTTGGGATCTGCAACTTGAAAGCCAGACATACACACCAGATCCACCCAGCCCCAACCCTTCCAGATGAGCATGGTATTTCTGGCCACTGGCCATGCACTGAAGTCCCCTGGTGTCTTGAACAGGGCCAGTGTGGAGCAGAGATGGGGCAGGAGGAGAACAGATATATCTCTACATGCCCAGTCTGGGAAATCCCTGATGTCCCACATGCTTGATTTGGAACAGAAGACCTAGATCCAGAGGGTACTGAGTTGCACTCTGCAATCCACCAGCAGCTTCTGTTCCTCAGA